TCTTTGAAGAGTTTCATCATGTCTAGTTTAGATATCTGAGCCTTAGAAAATGTAATTACTAAGTCAACTGTCCTGAAGTAGAATATCTGATAAATTCAGAATTCTGAATTCACACAACAAGCATGTCCTATCTGTAGGTTCTCAGATTTCAAGTAATAGGGTTCTATCAAAACATAATTAAATTAGACTTACATCAAATTTTATTCTATTATTTCACTAATTCCTGACAATTTCTGATTATTCAAAACAATAGGACATTGTCACCCTGTATTAGGAAGAATATTATTAGGCTCGACGGGGTTTCAAAAAAGATTTACAAGGATGCTGCCGGGAATGGAGGGATTGAATAATAAGGAGAGGCTGCATAAGCTGGAACTATTTTTCACTGGAGCATAGGAGGTTCAGGGGTGGCCTTATAGAGTCATAGAGCTGTACGGCATGGAAACAGACCCTTCGGTCCAACTTGACCATGCTGATCAGATATCCTAAATTATTCTGGTTCCATTTGCCAGCATTTGGCCCATATCCCTCTAACCCCTTCCTTTTCACATACCCATCCAGATGCCTTCTAAATATTGTAACTGTACACACCTCCACCGCTTGCTCTGGCAGCTCATTCTATACACACACCACCCCCTGTGTGGAAAAGCTCCCCCTCAGGCCCTTTTGAATCTTTTCCCTCTCACCTTAAACCTACGCCCTCTAGTTTTGGATTCCCCTACCTGGGAAAAAGACTATGGTTATTCACCATATCTACGTCCCTCATGATTTTATATACCTCTATAAGGTCACCCCTCAGCTTCCAATGCTCCAGGGAAAATAGCCCCAGCTTGTTCAGCCTCTCCCTAGAGCTCAAACCCTCCAAACCTGGCAAAATCCTTATAAATCTTTTCTGAACCCTTTCAAGTTTCACAACATCCTTCCTATAGCAGGGAGACCAGAATTGCACACAGTATTCCAATAGTGGCCTAACCAATGTCCTGTACAACTGCAACGTTACATCTGTACTATACTCAATGTGCTGAACAATAAAGGCATGCAGACCAAATGTCGTCTTCACTATCCGGTCTAGCTGCGACTCCATTTTCAAGGAACTATGTACCTGCACTCCAAGGTCTCTTTGTTCAGCAACATTCCCCAGGACCTTACTATTAAGCGTTTAAGCCCTGCCCTGATGTGCCTTAACAAAACGTAATACCTTACACTTATCTAAATAAAAGTCCATCTGCGACTCCTCGGCCCATCAGATCAAGGTCCTGTTGTAACTCTGAGATAACCTGTTTCACTGTTATTAGAGGTTTATAAAATCGTGAGGGGTATAAGATGAATGACAGGTGTCTTTTCCCTAGGGTGGGGGATTTCAAGACTAGAGGACATATTTTTAAGTTGAGAGAAAGATTTAAAAGGAAACTGAGGGGCAACTTTTTCACAAAGAGGGCGGATTGTTTGTGGAATGAACTTCCAGAGTAAGTGATGGATGTGGGTACTGTTATAATGTTTAAAAGACATCTGGATAAGTTCATGAATAAGAAAGGTTTGGAGGGATATGGGCCAACTGCAGGCAGGTAGGACTAGTTTAGTTTGGGATTATGGTCGGCATGTGCTGGTTGTGCCGCAAGGTCTAATTCCGCGCTGTATGACTGTATCTATAGAACTTTCCTAGAAAGGGGATGGTATTAAACCTATCTGATCAGTGTAAACTGAATCGGTTGGTAGTTTTTAAAGTCCTGGTGCTTCATTTGATAACCCATCTACTTTTCTTAGCAAGTGGCAAAAGTGCACATCTGAAACCAGCAGAAGTTTTCAATTTTGATGACAACTGACTCCAAATGTTTCTGTACATCTGTCTGAGTTGAAAATCTATGGCAACCTTCCTGTCAAGTGAACACATTGAAAAGTGGATCTGACTAAAAGCAACCATTAATACCCATGTTTTAAAACTTTCCTTTATGATCCAAGAGGCACAGGATAGCACTCCACAAAAAAAGCTGAGAGCTTGCCTGCTCTGGGCTCCTTCTGAATTCACCTGCAAGAGCCCTCTGGAAGGCCATTCCTGCAGCTTGTTTTACAACTTCCGTGCTGGCTGACAGGCACCTGCCTCACATCTAAGGGCCAACTCATGATCATGTCAGGAATCAGCTGACACACAATCAGGTAATATCTGGTCACATGACATATACAAATGTTCCCACATTCGTTGCATCTTTGTTTGAAGTTTCATGCCAGCAGCTATTTTTGGAAGAGCGAGGATGCCACCAGTGAGTGGTTGAAGAGGGGAAACCAAGGGCAGGGGAAACAGAAGACAAAGAGAAATCTGAATGTGGAAGCAATTTGATTCCACTAGTAACTAATAGTCATTCACTAAAACTGCACTGATAACCACTAGTGATATTGGTAATACAAATAACCCTCATTACCAACAAGTAATGCAACTATTCTTTGATATATCCAATTGGTAATAATAGTGTACCATTAACAAAGTTCCTGACATAAAAGTTATTCCATGATGAGAGCGCAAGTATATTGGGCCTTTATTCTCTGGTTTCAAAGAATGAGGAGTGATCCCACTGAAATATACATGATTCTGAAAGGGCTTGACAGGGTAGACACTGACAGGTTTTTTCTCCCTGGCTAGGGAATCTAGAATGTGGGGGTGCAGTAACGGATAAGATGTTGATTATTTAGGACTGGAAAGAAATGTCTTCACTCAAAGAGTTATAAATCTTTGAAATTCCCCACCCTAGACTGTTGTGGATGCTATATCCTTGAATATTTTCAAGGTGGAGATGGTCAGAATTTTGATCTCTTGGGGCTTGAAGGGATATAGGGAGCTGGCTGGAAAATCGAGATTAGGTGGAAGATCAATGTGATCATATTGAACAATAAAACAAAGGTGTACCTAGTTTATTTCTTATACTTGTTTTAGGAAAGAACAATGAAAACAGACATAAACATATGTTTTGTCTGTCTCATGTACTACTAGACTCAGGAAAGCCTCTAAAGTCTAGCTCATCTATAAAAAACATGGTGGAGTTACCTCAAGGATGTGTTTAAAATGTGAAAGATTTTGTTTGGTTTCTTCTTGTAGGCAAAACGCCATCAAGAAATTCAATAAGGAATTCAGAAGAAACATATCCACCCAAAGAGTGGCAAGAGTGTGGAATTCTTTACCACAGGGAGTGGTTGAAGCAAATAACATTGATGCATTTAACAGTAGGCCGGACATACATACAAAGGAGAAGGGATTAGATAGTTACAATAGCACATTAAGATGAGGAAAGGTGAAAAGAGGATCGAATGAATCATAAATAATCTCATGGATTGGCTGGGCTGAATGGCCTTATGCCTGCACTCTATATCCAAAATAAAACAGTAGTAATCCCATAACTAATTGATACTTGTGCAGTGGAAAAGGACTCTGGCTTTAGATTCAGGACAAACATCCCTGTTGATGCCAATTTTAAAAGGTACAATCTCCTTCCCCATCTCTCTTGGCTCAGCCACACCACCAAACTGAGATTCAGTCAGAGTTAACACGCATTCAGACTTCCCACATCAAAATCAACCACCAGAAACTGACCTGTGGTTCAGTTGCTGAGGCAGAACTTTGTTAGATTCTAGTCTCCTTGTGATTGGACTTAGTAACAGGTTGATTGTTGTAGAATGATAGAAATTGCATCTCATGGAACTCCATAACCCCCAGATCTTTTATATTTCTGACTACTTTCCCTACTCACCTTCCAATAAAATTTATTTGGTAATCTTTGTCAATGGACTTAAATTTTACTCACCCCCCATCTCAGTTTCCACTCACCACTGCTGCTATGTCTGGCTCTGCAGAAAATGCTGAACACTACTCCAGTCACATTCTGCCACTCTCAGTCCCAGTTAGCCTATCTCCCTGCCTCTAATTCTATTCCCCAATTGCTCCCATCTCTCAGGTTCCCTCGTTATGCCCTGCTGATAATTCGTGAGCCTACTTCATTGACTGTTCCTGACATAGTATTCAGTTCTGTGGTATTTTCATGTGTGGAGTAAGTGAAGGTGGTTAAGTAAATTTGCCATAGTCCTTACCAACATCTCTCTCCATAATAGAGAGACAATTGGTTATGTATAAGTTTGACAATAACCACTCAACAAGTTTGGGATATACAAGGAAGGGCCTCCATGAACTACCACCACCAGTATAGGTGATGATTTTATTCTGTAGCAGACTGTAGTGCACAGGTAGGAGGATTAAAAAGAAAAGTTAATGTTGCTGTGGAGGTTTTGAAATATGAATATCTTTCAGGCACAAGCGACATGCAAACAAAGCTTTGGAGTTAAAAAATTGGGCTGGTTGGGCCCATTATCCCAGTGCAATTGATCTTTTGAAGACCACCTGGAGCTGTGCAGAGTTAATGTCCACTTCAGATGCTGGAATCTCCTATACTTTAAGCAAAATGCTGTCTTGTCTCAAGTTAGAAAAAACTTGCAAGCTACATTATTTTTGTTTCTTTGTTCATGGGATATGGACATCGCAAGATGGGCTGCCATTTATTGCCCAGAGAGCAGTGAAGGGTCAAGCACAATACAGTGGGTCTGAAATCACGAAAGCTAGACCAGCTGAGGAGGACAGACTTCCTTCTTCCAACAGGACATAGTGAAGCAGATGGGTTTTTAACAACGATTGACTGGTTGCATTCAAATCCCATGTCCCCAGAATATTAGTCTAGGGCTCTAACTTACCAGGGCAGTGACATTTGCCATTAGGCCACTGTCTCTCCCAACACACACTCCTCGTTACTCCTTACACTGGAAAATTATTCAATTTCATTTCTCAGCCTGACTGGCATGATTTGCAATATTTGTCTTTTTTGAATGATCAAGGTTCTTTGCATGGAATGTGATTTAATTGTCCAGAGCACACAGTATCACTCTCATGCACAGAAACACATGCTTCTTCAACATTTGTAAAGAGATTTTTTTCAGTTGATACAAAGTAGCTTTTGCAAGATTGATGAAAATATAAAAAAGTATATAAAGTCACTTTAATTGAACATGCAGTACATAGTGTTTTTCAGATTACAGTTGTTTCAAGACATGCAACTATATATGTCACAGATACATATATTTGCATCTATGTTAACATTTTTACAGCGCAAGGATAAAACAGCATTCTGCAATCACTTGTTTGCAATATTATTAAAATCCAATTTATATTTAACTAAAATGCACATTTTTCAAATTCTTCCGTCAGATTAAAGATCCTTCACTTCATATCAAGCAGACTCAGTGAAATTACACTACTTTTCTTTACAGTCCCTAATACAAGTATGTAACTTCAACATTGGAAATGGGGCGGGGGAGAAATTAAAGCCTTGTAGAGATAAAGTTGGTCTATGCCAGTTGTGCGCTTGAACTGTGTTTCCCCAATTCATCTTCGAATTTACAAGGGTTTGGGACATCACATAACCCACCCGCCTTTGAGCCTGTTTAACTCGCAAATTAAATGCCACATAACTGCCTTATTTTTTCCCCACTTCCTGGTTACCCAGGTAACCAGGTGAATAGCCCAAAGCTTTTATCACGTGGGCCAGGTTCAGGCATGGTGGCAGTGGCCCTGAAGTTTACAACCACACATTTAACACCATTCCACACCACTTGCCTCAAAGCTGGTCTGTCAATCCCTTCATTGGGACCTGTCAGCCAGGCCCTGCTCATACCCACATCTACCTTGAAGGCTGATTGGCAGTGGAATTCTTTACCTACGGCAATCAATGCTGCTTCCAGTGCAAATTGGCTGCGAGTCAGATGGCGTTTTGGGAGATAAGAACACACTAAGATACAGGAGCAAAATTAGGCCATCGGGCCCATTGAGTCTGCTCCGTCATTTGATCATGCCTGACATGTTTCTCCACCCCGTTCTCCTGCCTTCTCCCTTTAACCCATGATCCCATTCCTAATCAAGAGCCTATCTATCTCTGACTTAAACACGCGCAATGACTTGGCCCCATAGCCTTCTGCAGCAAGTGACTTCCACAGATTCACCATTCTCTGGCTGAAAAAGATTTCTCCTCATCTCAGTTCTAAAGGGTTGTCCATTCACTCTTATGCTGTGGAAACAACTTCTCCACACCCACTCTATGCAGCCCTCTGATTTTACTAAGTTTCAGTGAGATTCCTCCCTCATTCTTCTAACTCCATCCAGTACAGACCCAGAGTTCTGAACTCCTCCTCATATGACAAGCGCTTCAACCTGGGATTATTCCTGTAACCCTCCTCTGGATCTCCTCCAATGCCAGTACATCCTTCCTTAGATCCAGGGCACAAAACTGCTCACAATATTCCAAACATGTATGGCCAGAGCCTTATATAGTCTCAACAGTACATCTTTCCGAGATAGTAGGAACTGCAGATGCTGGAGAATCCGAGTCAACAAGGTGCAGGGCTAGATGAACACAGCAGGCCAAGCAGCATCATAGGAGCAGAGAGGCTGACGTTTCGGGCCTAGACCCTTCATCAGAAAAGGGGGAGGGGAAGGGGGTTCTGAAATAAATAGGGAGAGAGTGGGAGGCGGATAGAAGAGAGGAAACAAACAGGTCGAAGAGGCGGGGATGGAGCCAGTAAAGGTGAGTGTAGGTAGGGAAGTTAGGAAGGGGATAGGTCAGTCCAGGGAGGATGGACAGGTCAAGGGGGCGGGATGAGGTTGGTCGGTAGGAGATGGAGGTGCGGCTTGAGGTGGGAGGAGGGGATAGGTGGGAGGAAGAACAGGTTAGGGAGGCAGGGACGAGCTGGACTGGTTTTGGGATGCGGTAGGGGGAGGGGAGATTTTGAAACTTGTGAAATCCACATTGATACCATTGGGCTGCAGGGTTCCCAAGTGGAATATGAGTTGCTGTTGCTGCAACCTTTGGGTGGCATCGTTGTGGCACTGCAGGAGGCCCAGGATGGACATGTCATCTGAGGAATAGGAGGGGGAGTTGAAATGGTTCGCGACTGGGAGGTGCAGTTGTTTATTGCGAACCGAGCGTAGGTGTTCTGCAAAGCGGTCCCCGAGCCTGCGCTTGGTTTCCCCGATGTAGAGGAAGCCACACCGGGTGCAGCGGATGCAGTATACCACATTGGCAGATGTGCAGGTGAACATCTGGTTGATGTGGAAAGTCTTCTTGGGGCCGGGGATGGGGGTGAGGGAGGAGGTATGGGGGCAGGTGTAGCACTTCTGCGGTTGCAGGGAAAAGTGCCGGGTGTGGTGGAGCTGGAGGGGAGTGTGGAGCAGACAAGGGAGTCACGGAGAGAGTGGTCCCTCCGGAAAACAGATAAGGGTGGGGAGGGAAAGATGTCTTTGGTGGTGGGGTTGGATTGCAGATGGTGGAAGTGTCGGAGGATGATGCGTTGGATCCGGAGGTTGGTGGGGTGGTACGCGAGGACGAGGGGGATTCTTTTTTGGTTCTTATTGCGTGGACGGGGTGTGAGGGATGAGGTGCGGGAGATGTGGGAGACACGGTTGAGGGCGTTCTCGACCGAGGGGGGGAAGTTACGGTCCTTGAAAAACAAGGACAACTGAGATGTACGGGAGTGGAATGCCTCATCCTGGGAGCAGATGCGGCGGAGGTGAAGGAATTGGGAATAGGGGATAGCATTTTTGCAGGAAGGTGGGTGGGAGGAGGAGTATTCTAGGTAGCTGTGGGAGTCGGTGGGCTTGAAATGAATATCGGTTTCTAGGTGGTTGCCCGATATGGAGACAGAGAGGTCCAGGAAGGGGAGAGAGGTGTTAGAGATGGTCCAGGTAAACTTAAGGTTGGGGTGGAAGGTGTTAGTGAAGTGGATGAACTGTTCGAGGTTTAGGGCCGGTGTAGGTACGGAAGAGGGATTGTTCTACGTAACCTACAAAGAGGCAGGCGTAGCTTGTCTTGTATTCTAGCCCTCTCAAAATGAATGCTAATATTGCATGTGCTTTCATAACTGCCAATTGAACCTGCATGTTAACCTTAAGAGAATCCTGAATTAGGACTCCTAAGTGCCTTTGTACCTTACATTTCCGAAGCCTTTCACAATTTAGAAAATGGTCTGCACCTCTATTCATTTTAGTCAGCAGGTGGCTAGGACCAGGAAATATGGTCCCCCATAAAATCCAGCCCAATGAAAGATCCCTACCAAGGATCTGAACAATTGCTCCATGAATTTTAGCAGAGCAAAAAATTGGGCACGATGACATATCAGTTGCTGATTCACCATGAGTCTATTTCACACCTCTGTATAGACCAGTTTCACCACCTATCAAGTAAAGTCAATTTAAAGAAAGAAATTTTGACAGCAAACTATTTATTCTACAGTGATTTCTTATGTTGCAAGACTGCGACAATTACAAACCAAAGTAGAAGCCTTGAGTTTCCAGACAATAATTCATATCATTCTGACATAACTTGACAAAAGGCACGGAATGGTGCAAACTTCATTAAAATATCAAAACTACCAAGTTTCTGAATAGACAGGTATATCTAAACATGGGTTTAATTTCTTTTGGAATGACTGATGGATGTCTTGATATAGAAACATCACCCTCTTACCTCAGGGTCTTGAGATCCCTACAATAATTATAAAACAGGATCAGAGAATTCTACCAAATCACTGATGCCTGAGAACATAGTAACCTAGCTGGAATTCTCTCCCAGTGCAAAACTACCACAGTGGTCCTTAAAGTGAGAAGCTGTTTAATTTTAAATGAAAAACAAAGCATGTGGTTAATCCTTGGCTCTTATAATCTGTCAGTAAGACTGAAAACAATTTTTTCTGTACATGATCAATGAATTGCTCAGCCCAGTTGGCTGGACAGCTGGTTTGTGATACAAATTGGTGCTAACAGCATGGATTCAATTTCTGCACTAGATGAGATTACCACAATGGACTTCTCAAATTAAAACACGAGTTCTCTCTCTCCAGTGAGACAGCAGCCCTATGGTCTGGTGGGACTATGGCGGCTTTATCTTTTCATTTCTTCCCACATGGAATTTAAGCACTCAACAGACAGTAACAGCAGTAGTAATTGCAACCAGTAAGTGACAATTTCAAAGCCACATAAAAGTTAAGGCTGGATTGGTATGCTTAATAAAATCATAATAATAAACCCAATTCAGATACAGGGTTAGTGATAGATTAATACTTCACCTATTCTATTTGGTCAATTCAAACAAAAATGTTTGGCTACTTAACAGAACGATCTTGAACTTTGGAAACGAAATAAGACAAGAAGTTCTTCATGATAGCAGTAATGTTGCAGGGGCTGAAATACAGTTAAAGATTCAAGCATCTTTTAAAACTTGACAAGCACTGAACTGGCCTGAAGTTAATCCTGAGATTAAAGCCAATTTCAATGCCAACTGAACAAATTGGCCGTTAACAAGGATAGATTTAAATCTGTTACAAATGCAATTTAAGTTCGGTTCAATTCAAATCCCAGCAAATCAGAAAGAGTCTTACAAATTATCAAGATGATATCAGGTCTCTTCTCATGCTCATATTTCAGCCCAATTATAATTTTCTTTCCATTTTTCCACAGGGTGTGGGAGCTGCTGGGAAAGCTGGCATGTGTTGCCTATCCCCAGTTGCCCCTGAAGTGGGTGGTTTTCCTCACCATTTCAGAGGAAGGTTAAGATCAACCAGATTGTTGTGGGTCTGGAGTCACACATATGTCAGTCCAGGTGAAGATGGCAGATTTTCTTCCCTAAAGGATATCAATGAACCAGATGGGTTTTTATGACAATCAATGTTAGGGGTCACCATTATTGAGACTAGCTTTCAATCCAGATTTTTTTTTCCAACCGAATGTAAATTCCGTGATGAGATTTGAACCCTTATCCCCTAAACATTACATGGGCTTCTGGATTACTAGGCCAATGACATTACTATTGCACTGCCATCTCCACCCGTCCCAGGTGAACGTGAGACGATACTTGTTTATATGTTTCCTCTGTTAGAAAGTTAAATAAACTGAAGATTTCTACTGTCATTTTGCTGAAAAGCTAGATAAAACTAATATGAACACCAACTTCAAAAATAAATTACAAAGATTTTTAATATAATAAAAATTTGATCCAAACATCTAAAAGGCATAATTATGAAATGCTTCAAGATAAAAGTTGCTTAATCTTCCTAATAATCTTTAAATGATGAGAGAGAGAAACTACAAACAAACAGGCAAAACATCATAGGTAGTTGCAATACAACTTCAATTAATTAATTTTCATTGAATGTACAGTAGATTGTATTAAGATAAACAGGTAACTGACAGAAAGCAATTTTTATTGAATCCCCACAAATCTAGGACCAAATACTCTGCAACAGATCAACAAGTGTAACAAAGCTTTGATTTTTGTTATTGTTGACTGAACAATTCTGGAAACTCAAAATTTGAATGTGTATAAAAAAATGTGTCTGTTTTTAGAAACAGGACAACTGCTTCTGTAGCTCATTAAGGCACATTTGCTTGCTCATTCAGTGGCTCAGTTTCCGGCTTCACATTTTCTGAACCTTTTTTGGTTTCAACTGGCTTATCCTCCCTTTCCTTCCCGGGCAGACCCTCTTTCTTAATACGCAGCACCACATCCACAAAGAAGGCAATCGTAGCCAGGAATCCAAATGCCTAGAGAAAATAGTGAGAACAATGGGGACATGACCAAGAAATGCTCCTGTTAAACAATATATAAGACAGTAAGCATTCCATTATAATTACCCTACTATGGAACAGGTATTACACAGATTACTGGAAAACCTGACATGACTGCAATAAGGATGAAATTCCTGCGAGTTGCACTAATTAAGCTCAAGCAAAAAGAATTGAAAAAAAAAACATGCAGACCCATAATATTTGGCTTCCCCTAGTGTTAAAGTGCTAAGATGCTCGTGGGGACCTCCTGGAGGGTGGAATGACAATACCCAAATCACTGGCTGGATTATACTGGGTATCATGGTCACTGCCATCCCAACTACAAAGTCAATGAGGAGCCTACCTTTCAGGAGAGAAGTGGCTGCTGTGCAGTTATAATAGCTGAGGTGGGATTTCTGTCCTTGGGGACAGGAAGCCCTACCTCGGAAAGTGGTTGGCCATTCAGATGCTGGCACTTCTCGACATACCCTGAAGCCTCACTGGGAGAGCGGTGGCCACTGCTGGTACTGCACTCAGACAAGGATGAGGCAAGCTGGGATGGATGGGAACTAGATCAAATATTGTGGGGGTTGGTGAGCGGTATTTAGCAGGTCAAGGATTATCTTGGTAGGGATCGTTACTGAAACACTAAAGGGTTATGAAATACAGATGCATATTAGAGTGAAGCTACAAACAGTATAAATGGCTTAAAATTGTAGCTGTAAGTTTGGAGGTGATAAAAGAAGGCACTGAAGCAATAAGCAGAATTGCCTACAATGTATATATTTACTGTGATTGCATTAATGTAACCTTGATATTGGCCTCAAGTACATTAGTTTCTGTAACTTTCAAAACACATTCAAGTACTTAACTGTGCTGAATTCCTTCTTCACATATGGTTGCATGATGACAAACTTTTGTTTATATACCAAAATAAAAATATCTCAACAATTAACCATATGACACACATCAGGTTCATTAATGCTCAATGTTTTACAGGTTCTTTTTCGTTTCATTTTGTTTTATTTTAAGATAATATGAATGATTGGTTTAAAATGAAATGGCTCCTGGGACATATCGGAGGACTGCTACTGATGAAGTGAGTGGCTTAAAGTTGTTCCTTCCCCTCTCATTCGGTGACCTGCCTGTGGAAGTTCGATCACTGGTGGCAGTTCACTCTTTTTACTTATTGGAGGCCTGAGGACCAATTACAATTGATACTGAGGTCACATGGATTAGGGCAGGCTGTGCCTGTGCAGCAGCGAGTTCCAGTTTTGTCACCATGCCCAGAGTTTTAGTCGGAGAAATTTAACCACAAGCAAGATTGACTTAAAACTATGATAACCTTCTAACGGCCTGTAACCTCCTGAGGAAACTGATTGGAGGCCTACTATTGCTCAAGGAATGGTGGTCCAAACAAAATCTGATATTATTTTATACAGCACGAAACAAGGGAGATTGAAGATAAACATACTTTTGAAACAAAACTTACCACAGATGTTTTCTCCAAACCAGACCCATCATTCTGTGCGGCAAACACAATGGCGGCGATGAGGAACAGTATCGTTATCACAACAGTGTAACTAAAGTCCTGGAGAAAAAAAATGATGTAGAGTGAATTTTGTTAGAGATGCTGCATACATTTTAAAAAAAAGTCCTGAATGAGAAAAGGCTGTTTGATACACCATTGTGTACCAAGTACTTCTCTCTTCATAATATCATCTAACATTAGTTTCATCCTGTTTTTGTTTTAATTACATTGTTTGGCAGACTGCTGTAAACATCAGTAAAGAATTTCTTTCCCCACTAGCTGTTCTAAATTTGCTCTCCACAAAAGGCTACACTTATTAACTGAAGCTATTTCCTCGATGATTTAAGTAATATACTGTGTTTATCTCATCTATGCCTACAACTTGTTTGAGGTCCCTTTAATCACCTGTACTCAATGGCAAAGACCAAGGTAAACTTTCTCACAGTTCATTCAGTTTACATTTGGTGTATTTCTTTCTTACTCACATTTAAGATCCTAACAACTGATCTAAATTCATCACTAATTTTGAATATTTCCCAACCAATCGTCAAAAGACTCCTGACTCCTGCTGGGGATACATTAAAAACGGCTGAATAAATTTATCATCAGGTTGTTGGGTCTTCTAGGTTTGCATTATGCCCGAGACATCAGTCCTTAAAATTGGCCCCAGTGGCACAAATTTGATACCAGTAGAATGCAGGATTAGAATTAGAATCTTTGCTGAAAGTAGTAATTCATGCTGTTTGTCATCAATTCTACAATAATTTTTTTTACTGAAATAATTTACATTTATATAGTACTTTTAATATCCTCAAAACATAAAAGTTTTTCACTGCAAATTAATTGTTTTGAAATGCACACATGCACTAACGTGGCAGTAGCAAACTTTAGTGGTTTATACTGTGGGATGGACAGTAACAAGCACACTGGCGATCTTTCTTCTCCAACATAAAGTGTCATCAGATCAGATTATTGACTGAAAAGGAGTTTGGATTAATATCTCATGATGGTATCGCTAATAAAGTAACACTTATAACTTCACTGAAGTGATATCCTGGATTTTGTGCTTAAACCCACAATCTCCAGATTAGATATAGGAGGTCAATCAGATCCTGTACCAGCTGTCACAAAGTGCAGACCGTCGTTTATTCACTACCCGCCTTACAAGCGTAGGCAGTTAGCTGGACTAGTATTTTTGGTAAGACATTCTAAATCCAGAAAAATCTGCATTGTGAAAACAAAATCCCAACTCCTTCCTTCAGTTTTCTGGTAAAGACTTTTGGCAATTAGCTACTTACGTACTGGCAAATGGAAAAATGCTATTTTGAAACTTCCATCAGACTGACTTCTAACATGCTTTGTTGAAAGGTGCTGGTTTCTGTAGATTACTCTCCATATCAAGTATAAGAGGAAAAGAAATGAAACTGCCAGTTTTCAGTGCACACAGGAGTCTTTCTTATCAAATGGCAGACGGCACAGAGCTGCTCTGTTTAACTGGTTCAAATGGGTGCTTTAGCCTAGGCGGCTGGGAAAATAGGAGGTAGCAGCAAGCACTTTGCATTTCAGATCATGCTAGCAACTGAAAAAAAAACTTCCAAACTTGGCTTCTTTTTGCTTTTCTATCAAATCAATCGATACAAAGGGAACTAGACTCCTGCAATATTGATATGCACCGGGAAGAAAAAATAGGAAAAAAATCAACACATAGTCAGCACCTCAGAATCATTGAAAAGACGTCTGGGTGTCACATGTTGCAATATGTATGAAAACCAATGAATATCCTGGCAGACTGAATTTGTTACATATTTCTGGTTTATAAATAGACAGTAACATATTTTGAGAAACCGAAAATGGTGGAAGTACAAGCCCAATAAATTAAATTGCTGCCTATGTAATCAGTAGACTGCACACACTCGGAAAGAGGAAGGAAAATCATTGTGGGTGGGGGCTGGTAGGACATAAAGACATAGGGCACACTCCCCCAGGAATGGTTTGCTCTCAAAATGACTATTTCAAAACAGATTTAAGTGTCAGATATTGGGTTCAGCACATCTTTGAAAGTTCCTCTTTACTAACGTTGCATGGAACGCACGAGTTCACATGAGTAGGTGCTCATTTCAACACAGTTTGATGAGACAAAGAGCTCATATTACAAGCTACAGGCATAGTTATTCTAATATAGTGCTGCTTACCTGCAAGTGCCAAGAACATTTCCTAACAGTAATCCCAAAAGTAAATGTATAATTTGACAAGGTTAATGGGCAGGTTAAAGGAAACAGAAGCCCCCAATATGATAAATAGCAAAGTATCCAGAGATGATTCATAGAAAGGTTAACAAACAGAACTTGACAACTTGACATGGGAAAGGAGTAAAGTCAGGTGCCTAAAAGTTTGGTAAGCAATGTAGATTGAGAGGTAGCAGATGGGCTGAGGCGGGTGGAATTGGGCACTGTTATGGAGGTGGAAGTCAAACGTCTTGGTGATAAAGCAGACAACACAATTGGTAAACTAGAATGGTGCCCAATTGTATGGCTCTCCTTCACCTGCAAATCTGAGATGCAAAATCCAGCACATAATTTACTTTCTTAAAATGGCCACATTACTGATCTTTGGTAGTTACAGGCTATGTTTCAGGGAACAAGTTTGTCTTTTTCTTCTTTTTAACTTATTTTTCCAACCACCCTGTTCAGAGATGTTATTACACACCTCTGGTGCAGGTGGGACTTGAAGCCTGGGCCTCATAGTCCACTGGTAGGGACACTCCCACTGCACCACAAGGGTGCCCCATCAGACAATGTTTGTTATTTTAACAACCATGGTGTATTAACTAAATTAGACACTGGAGATTGATGAACCCTGTGGGCTTGTTAGTGTAAAACAATAAACACATTACAAGTTATGAAGCAGATAATACAGCAACCAACTCAGCAGTGTGTCTGTAGCTTGCAAACGCAAGGCCAAGCAGCATCCAAACAGTGCATATATACAGCATGTGGAGTCCTTAGAGGCACGGTGCATGCAATTATAAAGCTTTAATTCAGTTGAGTCCACAAAGACTTATCAGTGCTCAGCAATAAAAGGAATAATTTTTTACATTCACTGCCTCCATATTGTAAGGTGCCTCCTAAAATGTAACATGTGACCTACCTTCTGCCATTCTGTCTACCCCAATCCATCCCCCATTTTTGGGATGGTGGAAGAGGCAATGAGCAGTCTGTCTTTGGGACAATACATTAGACCTGTGTGTTTTTAGTTAATGATCATTTCAAGGCCTCTTCCTGCCCCTTCTGCTATTTCACTCTTGTCAGGGAAAAAAATCAAGGCAAGTGAATAGCCCAGCAGCTTTTTAATGAAGGGGCAGCTTTCTTGTGGGTGGGCACCTTGCCTACTTTTTATTTAGTAGGTGTGTGGTGGGGATATGGTACAATTCAGTCCACAAAGCTAGTGTTTCTGTTCCATGTTATTTATTTACATCAATATTAAGTCTGTAAGTCAATTGACGTGCTTCACATCACAATCCTAAGTCCAAGAGGGTGGTCCTGAGCAAGATAAAGTATTAACATTAATGCAAACATTTTCTCATCAATTCAATTTTTCTAAGCACTGACACATAGTCAGTAACTAGCTGAAGTATAACATGACGCTCCGTAAATTATAACTGAATGACTTGAGATTCAGGAGTACTTAATAAACAGAATGGCATCAGCAACTGCAAGTTTGTCTCTGCTGTTCTGTTCATAAAGAGGGAATCTAACAGCAGCCAGTATTTTACAACAACAGGGAAAGTGAGGGAAGGTAACAACGGCACCGTTGCAGGTCACAATGAGGAACACCAGGGAGGTCACCACAAGTTAGTGGTAGATGTCCGAGTTGAATTATTGTCTCCAAATGGAGGAAGTCACGATCAGCCCACCTCCAAACCCCATAACAGCTGAGCAATGCAGAAGGCTCAAGATTGGAACGTGTGGGTGATCCATTTTGGCCTCTTTCGGGGTCCCCAGTACACAGATGCCAGTCTTCAGCCAATTTGAATCATTCCACACAACATCAAAAAACAACTGGATACTGCAAAGGCAATGGACCCTGACACCATTCCAGGAATAATATCGAGGACTTGTGCTCCAGAATTAGCTGTGTCTCTAACTGAGCTGTTCAAGTAAAGCTACATGCTGACATCTATCCAGCAATGTGGAAAATTGCCCAGGTATGCCCTCTACAAAAAAGCAGGATAAATCCAGTCTTACCATTTACTACCTCATTCATCTATTCTTGGTCATGAATGATGGGAGGTGTCTTCAACAGTGCTGTTAAAGAACACTTGTTTAGCAATAGCCTCTTCATTGACACTCAGTTTGGGTTCCACCAGGACCACTCAGCTCCCAGTCTCATTACAGACTTGGTTCAATCATAGACAAAAGAGCTGAATTCTAGAGATCAGGTGAGAGTGACTACCCTTGACATCAAGAATGTATTTGACCAACTGTCACATCAAGGAACCCGAGCAAAACTGGAATCCAATGGAAATCAGGGGGAACATTCCATTGGCTGGAATCATTATCAGCACAAAACAGAATGACTGCAGTTGTTTGAGATCAATCATCTCAACTACACGACATCTCTGCAGGACATCCTCAGGCCAGTGGCCCAACTATCTTCAGCTGCTTTAATGGTCTTCCCTCCATCATAAGGTCAGAAGTGGGGATGATTGCTGATAACTGCACAATGTTAAGTACCATGCACGACTCTGCAGACACTGAAGAAGTCCATGTCCTAGTGCAGCAAGATCTGGATGTTATCAAGGCCATTACAGTAATCCATTACCATATAGGAAGTTCAGTGGAAGGAACATGTATGCTTCAATAACAGAACTCAAGTAAGTGGTTTGTCATAAGGGTTTTTACCTGAATAGTTATGAAAAGAAGGTCTTATTACAGTTGCTGTGGTGAATACTTAATTTTGACACATCACATGCAAGGATTTCTTAGTAATAATTCCCATTAACAGTAAGCAGCTTCCTGGATATTTTTAAATAAAATCTGGTAGTACTTAATAATGACCAT